GCATGTTGCATTAACAGTGGCGCTTTTGTAAATACCTTTGAAAATCTCGTGATACATAAGTCATAAAGGTAGTCTACACATAATGCACCACATATGCAATTACATGGGAATAATGTTTTTTGGTGTCAATGTGTGAAGGAGAGTAGGACCCAATATATGAGAGAGTGTTAGTGAGAACCCAAACTAAGAACTCCCTATGGTGAAACTTGTATACAAATGAATTATCTTCTTATGTCGTTCTAACTATGCAACGTATTGTCACACACACACATGCATAGTATATATCTCTGCATGTGGTGTGTGTGGTGTGTGTGTATGAATTATGACGATCATTGTAATCCCAATGCAAATATGGCAACTTTCACAAACTAATTATAAATGACCGCTTGAAGCATTTTAGACAAGTTTTTAAGGGGGGGGGGGGGGGGGGGAGGACATTACCTACCAATGGTCATAATTAAAGTATGTCATCAATGTTGAGTTTTTTCACACTAATGCACACGAGTTTTTCATTTTTGACAAAATGAAAAAGTCAACTTGTAATGAATGATGCACGACTTTTCCATTTTGATCAATTAATCTGAAAAAGTTAACTCCAAAGGGTGCATGACTAAATGAATTCATGAGATCTGAATATTCCATCTGAAAAGACACATGACTTTGGCAGTGTGACATAACATGAAGAGTCTATCGATAAAGGTGTGTGACTTTGCCGTTATGCATGACAAGCAAACTACCCAATTTGACTTGTCAAACTTTTCAGATCTTTACTTTGACATAATCTACCTTTTACGAATCCTACTCTCGCTTGTCAAAATTGATCTCCTCGGAATTCCAACTTTGTCGAACTTGATTTCACCAATCATCAACAAGGCAAAAACAATACCACCTCTACCCCGAAAATGCTCGCTATATCGACTTTTCTTGATCAATGATGGTAATCTTTAGACAATGATTTTAGTTCCTGTATTTGTATATAACTTATAAATTTTACTTTTGTGAAAATATATTGAATATGAACATTTTGATATAATGTTCATATTCAAAACAAATTTGAATTAAAAATATCATTTGTCAAAGTTGACTGTCATTGACCACGAAAAGTCAATTTGGCGAACTTTGACAAAACAAAGGGAGTTTATAGCTAAGAAAAGTCTAGTCATTTCTGTGTTCTTGAGTTGTTCAATTTAATTAAAATAAGTAAATGTATTAAATTGGCCTGGTCCTCTTGAAAAGATTAACAGGTTCCTCCTCCTCCTCCTCCTCGTTTTCTTTTTCTAAGATGTTTTTACTTGAACTTATTTCAGTTCCAAATTGGACCAGGCCAGATCTGACCAGAAATTTCAACCTAAGTAAAAACATCATAAATGTGCAACTAACTTTGCTTTTACTCCTCTTTTAACTATTGTGAATTGCATGAATGCCATGAAATTATCTTCTTTATGTAAGACACTTGAAACTGACCGGCTCGAACAAAAAAAAAACTCAATCAAGGGGTAGGCTTATTCTGATTAAACATGCCCTGAGTACCATTCCCTTACAATATATGGTTGTAGACACTCTTCCTAAAACTATTCATAATATCATTGAGAGGAAGATGACTCATTTCTTCGAGGGACTCTATAAACGATAAACAAAAATATCATTGGATGAACTAGAAAGTTACTTGCTTACATAATGTTGAAGGGGGGTTTGGGCATCATATTACTTTTCAGATTTGGTTTGGTGGAAAGGCTTTCTCTCTTAGGTTTGGTGGAAATGGAAAGAAAATAAATCTATTGGGCTAACTTCTGTAATGCAAGGTACCCTATAAATCCTTTCTGATATATAAAAAAGGGCACCCTAGAAATGGTAATTAACATGGTTCCTAAAGTTAATTATTATTCTAATATATGGAGAAGAATTCGCCATATCAATATTATATGAGATTGATTGTCTGGTCATGATTCTGAGGGTAGCCTCATTTGGTTACCTGAAAAAGATGATCATGTTACCATTTCTTCTCCTTATCAAGAGGTTGTAAGGAAAAAATCAGCCACCTTATCTTTAAGTTGCATCTGGAACAAAAATCAAACCATGTAAATTAAACTGTTTTAGTGAAAACTTATTAACGAAATACTTCCAATTTTGTGCAAATTCAAAGTTGTGATATTTCCTTTTATTTGCCCCTTGTGTAAGAATCAGTCTGATTCTTTGAGTCATGCGTTCTTTTTTTTTTGCCATAAGGTTAAAGAGGCTTGGGCTATTTTCATTGATATATTTGAATTTTCTCCCTCGATAAACCATTCCGGTGCGATAGTAGCGGCGGATGGTTTTCCCTTGTGCGGGTTGCCTGTTGGAGAAGACGAAGTGCTTACTCAGGCGGTGCGGTGGTCTTAAGTGTTTGGATTTCCTATTGTGGAAGTAGATGTTTCCTATTTACACTTGTTGGACTTAGATATTTCGAACAGGCCGTCAGTAACTTGGGCCTGGTTTTCTATTATATTTCGGCCCAAGTAAATAAATCTGCCAAGGTGGTAGCAAAGTTGGGCTTGTTTCGACCCTATACGTGGAGGATTGGGAACACTTTACCCAATGAACTTGTTGGGTCTATTAAGCTGGATGCTCTTGACATTCCATATATTGTCTGCTGAGTTTTTTCTGCTTAGCTTCTTTGTTTGTCTTTTGGAGGAGTTTGGTTTGGTCCCCTTCTCCGCTTCTACTTCCCTCTTGTTTTTTAATAAAATTTTGACAGTTGATCCCCGACACCTGCCCCACTGATTTTAGTGGTTTGTCTTACGGGATAAAAAAGAACTAGATCTAATGTTCTTCTTGATGTTTTTAAACACAATATGCCAGATATTATCACTTTGCATATTTGGAAGATCTATTCAAGCTTAGTCCAAGGCTCAATGCATTCGACTCCTTCTTCAGGGGCCTTAATCTTTCAAAAAAACTCTTTACTCAAAATTGATATGGTATTTTGAAACGTTTGAAAGATAATAAAGGTTTTGACCTTCTTGTGGTTGAAAAATTAATGTCCTCTTCTTATCGGAAAACTACAACGATGGTGAGAGATATTAAGTGGCTTAGATCGATTAATAAGTTTAAGCTTAACGTTGATGCTTCTTACATACCTAATAAAGCTTCGGGAGGCGCTGTTATGCCTCAACCTTAGATGCAGAACTCAAAGCTATCCTATTTGGCTTTTGTTTGGCTTGAGTTTACATCTTACTGCAGACTCAACCTTAGATGCAGAACTCAAAGCTATCCTATTAGCGGTGAAATGGGTGTCGGACAATGGATATACTGGATTTGATCTGGAATCTGACCCAAAAAAATATCTCTATCTTTCACAATTTGCTTTACAGAGGAAAATTGATGGCCATTCTTGAAGAAAATCGAGTTGTTGCTATTCAAGCTAGGATTTTTATTCAACATACTCTTCAGGAAAGTGACTGGGCAGCACATTTCTTATCCCAAGACAACATTTTAGTTTCCTATATCAATATTTCTCATGTTACTTTTTTTAATTAGGAAAGTCTTAAATGCCGATTCTATGGGTCTTGCGTATTTTAGATATTCCTTTAGGTAATTTTGGGCCTTTATTTATGTTTTTATTGGGTCAATATAGCCTCTTCTTCAGAGGTTTTGGTCTAGTTCCCCTTTCTCTCTTGTATTACTCTTCTTATTAATAAAATCTGGCAAGTGTTCCCTGACATTTGCCTTCCGAGGCTAAGAAAAGAAGTCACTTAAAGTAATACAACCCTTTCATACAGAACATCAACAAAGGAATAATAATGAGTTTTATAAGAATCAATGACGATTATAGTATTCCATGCAATTAAAAGGCAAGAAAAGTGAAATGACTTTAAATAAATCTACTCATAAGAGCATCATTTTTCATTTATAGATGATAACGACCCATTTCATTCAAAATGACATGTAAACAATAAAAAGGGACTATGAGAAAAAAAGAAATTTTTAAATTTTTTATTGATTAATGAAAAAACTCAAAATTTAAGAAAAATTGAAAAACACAAATTCAAGAAGGGTGGAGAGTCTACAACGGTTTTATGTTTCACATCATTCCTTCTTATTGCGATCTCAATGCATGGTAATTTTTAAAATTAGTTACTCATTTTAAAGTTCTCACTGAGATGGATTTTTTTAAAAAATTACTTAACATTAGATGGACTCATTGAGAATAAAAATTACACGACAACATATTTCAATAGCCGTGTAGGAGATCAATGTTTTCTTTATACACAAATAGAAAAGAAAAGAAAATCTTATTTAGCTACAATTATTAAATTTATAAATGTTCCAAATTTTATCATAATTAGTGAATGATATGCAAAGTGCGAGTCTAGCTTATAGACTTAAAGGGATGTATCGTGTACTTATTGAATATGGAATTAGTGGTAGAGTTTTAGAAGTCAACGGATTTCAAAAATCTAGATGTATTGATTTTTTTTTAAAATCCATAAAAGTTTAAACGTATTCAGTTAAGATTCGTAAAAAGTCATTACTGAATCAACCGAAACCTAGAGGTATTTAATTGGGATTTTAAAATATGAATAGAAGTTTAGGTGTATTCATAATATTCAGTAGATCCGTGAATTTTAAAAATCATTCATAACTGTGGACATTCAAACCCTGAATATCAATACATATCCTTCAACCTTTTCCCGTCCCACACCCAAAGATTCGATGCAATTCTTCTTTCTACTTTGGTGGTCTTTTCTTTCTGCGTAGAATATGTGTTCTTCTTTCTATTCAATAGCATATTCCTCCCTCTTCTTCTTCATATAAATATATCCTTTCACTTCCCTCTGCGTCATTGTACGGAGTACCCCCTCTGTCCCAAAAAATACTTCTCACTTTCTTTTTTTGGGCCGTCCCAAAAAATACTTCCTACTTACTAAAAATGGAAAGTTTCCACTCCTAAAAACTCTATTTTCCCCTTATTAATAAATTGTCTTCCCACCTACTCTCTTTCCCACTCACTCTCTTTCCCATTCTCTTTCGGTCCATTTTGCTGGCACTCTGTCTCATTATGTCAATACCCTAGCCCACCCCTCTCCCTCTCTTACACTATTACGATGCACCGCCTTCCCTCCTTCACTCTTCCGTTCCTTTACCATTCATTTCTTCTCTGATTTCAAATCCCTTACAACCCTAGCTTTTCTGTTGATCTAATCATCTGCCTTTATTTGAAATCCCCAAACCTTACATCTGACTTCCATGGATCTAGAATCAAGCTTTGTAACCCTATATGAAGACATAGGTCCATGCAATGAATGCATGGATGAGTTGATGGTGCCGGGCACTGAAGTCGAGCCAGGCGACGAATATGGTAAAGGTCTGATGGACCTTGTGGTTCCGTACAACGAAGTGGAGTCAGATGAGGACGACGATCAAGGTCCGATGGACCTTGTCATTTCGGACAGCAAACAGGAGTCAGACGAGGACGACGATCAAGGTCCAATGGAGCTAGTGGTTTCGAAAAGTGAACAAGAGGAGGGTGGTGAACGCCCCAAGGAGGTTGTGGTTCCGGACAGTGAAGAGCAAAAGGAGAAAATACATAAAGAAGTGAAAATGCACTCTCTTCGCTCTCTTCATCTAGAGACCTTCTTAAAAATCATCCTACCCGGCTGGGAATCTAGGATGTGGGACGTCGATGTTTGAGTCCTTTCTCAACCAGGGGAGTTTCTTTCTTAATCTCTTTTCATATGTTTGACTCCTTTCTGTTGCTTGTGTTTGTGTGACCATTATGTAAGGCTATTGTTGTGGACTTGCTTGTCTGACTTGTCGTACACATATGTTGTGTGTAGAAGGTTTTTGTTTTGGGGGCAACAATTATGAATACACAGTGTTTCTTTTATGAAATTGTTGATAATGATGAATATGTGGGCAGGTTAAAGATTGTGTGATGTTTGGTTGATATATATCTAAACTTGTGTTTTTGTGACCACTATGTAAGGATGTTTTTACTTCGACTGTAATTCCTCCCAGACCAGGCCATACCAGTTCAGATCAGACTAGACTTGGATAGTTATAAAAATACAAAGAAACCAGTTCAGACTAGACCAAACCAGACCAGCAAATTACAGTCCAAGTAAAAACATCTTAAGTTACAAATGATCGAATCAAGTAATTGAAGGAAATTGATTACTTGATTCTCAGTATTGTACTAACATTTAGAGTGGGTTGCTCAAGAGATGAATATAATGTTAACGATCAACAACATATAGTAAAAAGAATAAATAACAGAAACACATAAACATAAGATGGATGCAATAAGTAAAATTTAATGTACAATTTAGACATAACTTTAAATTACGCTAACACTTTTAACATACAAAAAAACATTCTTAAAGATTAGTTCTTCTTGTGTGACTATTCAAAGAGGACCAGTTTAGAAACCCAGATCCAAACACAAATTTAGATTTATAAGCATTAAAATGTACATCAAATAGATGTTTGCAGTTAGTTTTTGTTCTGATACTAATATTTTTTCTAAATGTATAAGGGCTGCACAAAAATGTTACGAAAAAGCTTTTATTTCCCATTATTATAATCTTTAAACGTCTGCCCTATTTGGGAAATCGTCGATCTGTTCTAGGAATCTGGTGGCCAAAGCTAATTCGAAAAGTTAGTTACATGATCCGAGTAAATTCATCTTTGGAGTGTTTATGGTGGAATAGGCTTGAAATTCCGATTCGATCAGCATGCTGCTGCTTCAATAACCTTCTGCAATTCTACTCTTCTATGTTTATGTTACATTACTGAGAATGATGCTCTCTAAATGAAAGCCTTTTCTTGTAGTTATTTAGTTGTGTTCCTTGTTTAACGTTAATTTCTCAGGTTTGTGCTTCTTAATCCTTAGTCACCCTATTGGGGTTGACATGATTTAGTACTAGAAGTTATTTGTAGCTCATAGTGAAACATGGACTGATGTGGAGTAAGGATGTCGTTTCTAAAGAGTCAGTGTCTATAAACCTAGATTAGAGAGCAAAGTGCAGTGCTCTGTTCTTCAAGATGGATGTCGGAGGACATCACCAGTACAGACTGAAAAGGAATCTAGCATATGAAGATTCTAGTCAACACCCAAGGCATGACACTTGGAGATACACACGAAGCCCTAGGCTCCATGAGAGCAGATTCCATGAGCGTCGTGGTAGATTCCATGAGCCTCGTGGTAGGCAAGGTGTGCAGATGTGGAAACTTTTGTTTACAAGAGCATGGTAGCATTTTAGATTCCTACCTTGGCGGGAAAAGCACTTTACAAGACCATTGCTATGTTGTGCAGGAATTAGGTTGGAATATAATCGTGATTTGGGTCTTCAGCGACCAAGGCAATCATATCAAGCTTCTCAGGGACGTGACTCCAGATTCAAGCACAACAAACTCAGTTTGTTTGACCCTCTTAGCGTCCCCTATGGTGGGTTCTCAAATCACGATTAGTCTGCTTTTCTTTAACCTGTTAAACTGCTGATGTCAAGTCTTGAAAGTTTCTGTTAGTAAGCCTCCAGTTTCACTCAGATGCAGAGCCATTTTACTAGTCTTTAATGGCTAGAAATCATAGAGTGATACTATTGAGTTTCATTTTTAATGATTGTGTGCAGGCTGGTCAAACTGCCCTCCACATGGTGATAACATAGGCTATATAATCCCATCAAAAGTTCCTCTTACTGAGTCTTTCAACAAGAATATCAGCCGCATCAAAAGATACACCCCAAGTCAAGCCATTTATGAACAAAAGTGCCTATGCAGAGAAGTAAGAGTTACTATGTAAATATTTTCTAAAGTAGCATGGGCTTGGGAATATGCCATCTATTTCTGGAATTTTTGGATTGCGATATAATTACTGACATTCTTCATTGTATTTTTTTCCCTCAAAAGCCATTTGTAATTTGCATCAAATTTATTTTGCTTTTTGATTTTTCAGATAGGTTTAGTTATTGATTTAACAAACACATATCGCTATTATCCAGAATCAGATTGGACAAGCCAGGGAATTAAATATGTTAAGGTAACAACCATGCTACAAGCGTAAGCCCTTGCTTCACATCAGATGGATTTTGGGTTAACAGATGGCATTTTTGTTTTTGCAGATCAGATGTCCAGGTAAGGACATTCCTGATAATGACACTGTCAATAAATTTGTCGATGAGGTACTTTTGCATGTTAGCAGGAGCAGTGGTTTTAAACCTTATTTTTTGCACTTTTGTATTTCTTGTACTTGCATTCAGCAAAACTACTAAAATCTGTTCTTTGTGTTTTTTTAATCCCACTTGACATGCTAACTTTATGCTGTGTTTGACACTTTGACTTGGAGCTTATCTCTGTAGATTCTTTTAATTTCAGGTCACCAAATTTAGATGTCAGCATGAGCACTCAAATAAGTATGTTCTTGTTCATTGCACACATGGCTACAACCGCACAGGCTACATGATTGTTCATTTTCTTGTACGTAACGAAAAGATTACAGTATCCGAGGTGGGCAGATATTAATTTTTTGGTCACCAAAACTTGTCTCTTTTAGACTTCTGATGCCCCTATACACTCCCTTAAAAGTGCTGTTTTTTCCCTTATGGCGCAGGCTATAACTATATTTTCCAATGCACGTAGTCCTGGAATTTACAAGCATGAATACATAGATGCATTGTACCGTCATTATCTTGAAATGAAACCCGAAGTTGTTGATTATCCTAAAACTCCTGAATGGAAGAAGCAATCTGAACAGAAGGAAGATGCTACTGTTACTTCATCTGTAAGTGCACTGTATACTTTTTGCTGAATATATATTTTTTTATGAGGAAATTTTGAGACTGTTTACCATTCTTAACTTTTCCATTTTTTGCCTCATAGTTGCCCCACCGCAGAGAAGCCTAAACTATACCTCCTAATTGCCATAGTGAGGTTTCCCTACTGCATGGATGCCTCACTGAACCTAGTCTCCACCTAGGTGATGCTGTGCCATCTATACTTAGGAATAATACAAGCCATTTTTTGGAAAAGACAACTTTGGGAGTTTTGGGTCTCAACAGAACCCAACCCTAGGAAGCTTGGGGCGTGAACAAAAATCTCAAAAATTTCTATCTTTCATTACCTATGATGTTCTGAAGAATATAACATATAACAGCAAGGTTTAAAAAGGCTAGTTCGAGTATCGAGGCGGTTTGTTCCGGAGAGGTGAGGCATAAGCCTTGAAGCATAAGTCTCAAAATACCAACACATAAAACTTAAAGTAGTTAAACTACTAAACTAGTAATAATCAACTAAAGAAATGCACAATTATAAGTCCAAAAAGTCTCAAACACAAGCACAGGTATGAACACACACCATTCATCATGAGATGGCAAATCATCAATCAAAAGATTTTCCTCATTATTGGCTAGGGATCTTAATTTAAGGTGTCTATCTTTTACGTCTTTTATAAATCCTTGGCCAGTTCTAGGAAAACATGACCAACAACTTAGTACAAGAAGGAGAGGAGAGAAGGAGAAGAAGTGAAGGAGAGGAGATGAAGAAGGAGAAGATATGTAGACGAAGAGGAGAGGCAGAATAGGAGAAGGGGATGAAGTACAAGAGAGGAGAAGAGAAGTTGCCTGGAAGAATGGTGTGTTTGTAAGAAGTTGTCAACTTCTTTGTGCAGGAGTATGAAAACTTCTTTGTGCAGAAGTATGCAAACATTTTAATGATTAATGAATACTTTAAATGAAACAAGACTTGTTAGGGGTTTAGTGTGGACTAACGACCCATGTTTAATGAATGGGCCTTTTCTTAAATAAAATGCACTGTGTCTTTCTTAAGTTACAACCAATTAAAAAGATAGAAAAAAAGGAAATCACGCCTCAGAAAATGCCTCAAGGTGCGCCTAGGCGTATGCCTTAACCTTTGAGGCATAAGCCGCTTGACCTGTGAAAAACCTAAGCCCGGATACCTTCTCTGTAGCCTCACCTTGAGCCGCGCCTCAAAATCCGCACTATAAGCCTTTTTAAACCATGCATAACAGTATCATGTTTGGAATATGTGGCCCTCTGCCGCTTCATCTGGTTCATTTAATCCTAGCTATATGAGTAAACTCATCCACCCAATTGCTGTGTAAGTGTGTAACCTTTCGGTTAATTCCATCATGGGGAAAATGATTGGCATAGGACATGAGTGACAAGATTTCTACCACTTCCACCCCCCGATTTAGTCTCTTGTGTGTACACCAAATCTCCCGCTCTCATCCATAACCATTGGAGGCATCCAAGTATCTTTAAACTTTGTCGAGTGGTTCTGTGTCTATCTATATTTGAGTCCTTTGATCGTTAGTCTGCTCCAAGAAGAGTCTATAATCAGGCTACACCCTCATTTGATACTCCACACAAACAAATGGGGTCCATGTAGTGTTCATTGATGGCTTTTCATGTCTTTGTATTGTTTGTTGATGACCGTTAGAGATGCAAGTGTGTATTCATAACTAAAAGAACAATATGAGTTTTTAACTTGCGGATAACTAATAGTATATGTATATCCATTTTTTGTGCTTAAATAGAAACTCAGTTGAAAATTACCATTTGTGTTCTGTGTACTGATAATGCATAAGAGTTCTGTCCCATTCGGAAGTTTATTTGACTTCTAAAGGCATGTTGCACTGTCCTCTTGACCTTGAGGCTGCACTACTCAATAAAATGGGGTAGCAGAACACAAGTTCTATAATTTGGTGGCGCAACTCGCATCTTCTCCTACATTATTATGTCCCATCCTCATACCGGGTGGATGGCTTCCTCATTACAAGTTATGTAGTTACTAGGATGCTGTCCTTTGCGGTTACTAATGAAGACCATACTCCGTCTTGTTTCCATCTCTT